CATCAAGATATATTACCAAACTATTATTCAAACAAGACAAGAGAGACGCACAGGAAAACGCCTTCGATCATCAGCAAAATTTATTGAAGTAATCGGGATTTAAGTCGCTAATGAATTCTCCGCTGTTGCAGGCAGTTTCGCGGGACAACAAATGCAGGTAGTCGTCTTTGAAGTCAACCATAAGCCATTTGATGTCACAGCCGCATTCCAGCGGATTGCCTGCAACGAAAGCCAAGTCTAGAGTAAGTGACTTCAGGGAACCGACACACGCCCAAGGGAACACATCAGTAAGTCAATTTACACATATCTACATGCATACTGTACATCCATATATTCATACATACATATTTATGCACACACGCACACACACACATACACATGTGTGTGTGTGCGCGTGTGTGTGTATAATATATAATATATATATACATATATATACAAATATATACATATATACATACACATACATGTGCATAAGTGTGTGTATTATATATATATATATATATATATATATATATATATATATATACATACACACACGCACACACACACATACACATATATATGTATATATATATATATATATATATATATATATATATATATATATATATATACAAATATATATATATATATATATATATATATATATATATATATATATATATATGTATATATATATATATATATATATATATATATATATATATATATATATATATATATATATATATATATATATATATATATATACATATATATACATATATATACATACACACATATACAGGCACTTTTGTACTAGGCTCAGCCTTCCTCTTTCGACTCCTCTCTTACCTCTTCTCCATTTCGACGTGTCAACAAGCCTCACTTTCTTAACATTAAATATTTTGTGTTAATACAAATGCATCACTAACCACTTAAGTCAATGATTCCGTTTGGGGCAACCTGGCTGAAGATGCCTCTCCAGATATCAACTGGGAGTGTTTGGATACTATTGTTGGCGAAGGACAGGTTGGAATTATCAACCATCCCTGAAATAGTGTAAAAATAAATTATTATTTTTTTAGATGTATGTAGTTCAGCATCAGCCTACCTTTCCCGGAGTCCGTGGCGCGAATCCGAAATATAATCTAGTTCACAATGTCATAAATGACCTAAACGTTGCTGAGCCAAGTATCGTGTAGATATTGTTATAGCAGAATGCTTACCGTGAATTGCATCGTGCGTGACTTCAGTGATATCATTGCCAGCAAACGAGAGTTCTTCGAGTCGCGGGTTTAGGGGAGCAATAGCATTTTCTTTCAGTTCCGTCAATAAATTGTCATCCAGTCTGAGTGTTATGAGATTATTTTGCGATGAAAACACCCCGGGTGAAAGTGACAAGAGGCTAATGTTTTTCATGGAAATCGACTGCAGAGTCGGAACTCTTGTGAACACATCAATTTCGAAATTCATATTTGCATTATCATTAATGCTAAAAAATTTCAGGGAATCTGACTCTAGATTTGGGAGCACATCTATCAAATTGTCGTCGATAGTAAATGTTTCAAGTTTCAAAAAAGATGCGAGAGTTTCAAAAGGAAAATCGCTAATGAGGTTACCAGACAACTCAAGACGTTTAAGTCTATCATGGGATTTTAGGAAAACGTTTTCGCTAATAGTCTGGATTTTGGTGCCCTTGATGTTCACAAACTCGAAAGTAATGTCCCCAAAAACGCCCGAAGCGAGGTTTCTGATATTATTTATACCCGCTCGGTCTTGAATGATAGTGAAACTTTGAAAATCATCGAATGGAAACAGAGCCGAAAATAATAATAATAATAATAATAATAATAATAATAATAATAATAATAATAATAATAATAATAATAATAATAATAATAATAATAATAATAATAATAATAATAATAATAATAATAATAATAATAATAATAATAATAATAATAATAATAATAATAATAATAATAATAATAATAATAATAATAATAATAATAATAATAATAATAATAATAATAATAATAATAATAATAATAATAATAATAATAATAATAATAATAATAATAATAATAATAATAATAATAATAATAATAATAATAATAATAATAATAATAATAATAATAATAATAATAATAATAATAATAATAATAATAATAATAATAATAATAATAATAATAATAATAATAATAATAATAATAATAATAATAATAATAATAATAATAATAATAATAATAATAATAATAATAATAATAATAATAATAATAATAATAATAATAATAATAATAATAATAATAATAATAATAATAATAATAATAATAATAATAATAATAATAATAATAATAATAATAATAATAATAATAATAATAATAATAATAATAATAATAATAATAATAATAATAATAATAATAATAATAATAATAATAATAATAATAATAATAATAATAATAATAATAATAATAATAATAATAATAATAATAATAATAATAATAATAATAATAATAAT